CCTGTGGTTTGTACCCAATTGGTTCCCCTAAATGCCTCTCTTTGCTGGGAAGACGTGGCATCAATGACTCTCTCTAAGTAAAAAACTGAAGGCATAATAATTTAACTCTATATGTTACACCAGGGAAGAAACAAATGCTAGCAATCAGGTGCCCTCTCGCTCAGCAGAGCCACTTTTCTAGCACCACTGAGGGTGGCCTGTGCCACCAATAGCACAAGCAAGGGGGCTTCTGAAGCCCTGAGCCCAGGCTTTGGGGCTCCAATTCTGACACCAATTCCAGTGTGTATGTGTGTGTGTGTATGTGTGTTCCACACCACCAATCAATTAACTCAATTCTGACACTATCTACCAGAGATAGCATCAGATTCCACAGGGGAAGGACTCAGTCCCACAAGACAGCTCCACGTCCCCACTCCCTATCCTGCCCACTTCGGACGCCAATTGCAAGTTCAGGTTGTCACCTGTGCTTTTGACCAACTGGTTATAGATTGGAGGCCCCCACAACCCCCTCCTTGAGTTTGAATAATTTGCTAAAGCAGCTCACAGAACTCAGAGAACATTTTACTTACTAAATTTCAGGCTTATTATAAAAGAATATAGCTCAGGAACAGCCAGATGGAAGAGATGCATAGGGCGAGGGGTGGGGAAAAGCATGGGGCTTCCACGTCCTCTCCAGGCACCCCGCTCTCCCCACACCTCCCCATGGTCACCACCCTGGGATCTCTCCTCAGCCCGTCCTTGTGGGTTTTTATGGCGGCTCCATTACATAGGCATGATTGATTAAATCATTGGCCATTGGAGATTTATTCAACCTCCAGCCCCTCTCCCCTCCCCAGAGTCAGGGGTGGGACTGAAGGTTCCAACCCTCCAATCACAGGGTTGTTTCTCCTGGCAATCAGACCCTATGTTTATCTGCTTTCCAAAAGTTACCTCATTAACATAACAAAAGACAGTGCTCTCTTCACTTAGGAATTTCCAAGGGTTTTAGGAGCTCTGTGCCAGGAAAGAGGATGAAAACCAAATAATATCTTTCTTTTTTTTTTTCAATATTGTGTATATGGCTAAATGATCACCACAATATGTCTAGTTAACATCTGGCCCCACACACAGTTACAACATTTTTTTTCTTATGATGAGGACTTTTAAGATCTACTCTCTTAGCAACTTTCAAATATGCAATAGAGTCATTAACTCTGGGGATGCAATGTCCAGTGTGGTGACTGCAGCCAATATATTTCTTATCACAATATCATAGGGGCACAAAGCTCCCACCCCACCCCCAGCTGTGTGCATTCCATGGACACTGAGCAAAGGTGTCCCAAAAGCCACCCCCCTTTGTGGCTACAAGGCTTTTGGCCAGATTTGGGAAGAGGGGGCCACCCTGTGCTCCCAGACTAGCCACTTATCTTCTAGAATCTACCCTCTGCATGCAGGGCTGGCTGGCGGCCAGCAGCAACAGGCATTTCTGAGTCTCAGAGGGGCAGGTGCAGAACCTTGTCTTTATGGCTCCTGTTAAAAGGGACTTCTACTGCATGAACACATCCCCGCACCAGCCCAGCTCTTACCTGCGCACCTCCAGAGCAGAGACCAGGCAACTCACTCTCTCCCTTCCTCTGCCCTCCTTTTATGTGGTGTATGAACCACCCCCTCATGCACTGTTCTCCCTTTCCAACTGCCAGAGAAATGAAACTAATGGCCAGACCACAGAAATGAAACTAAAGAGGCAACATGATCCCCAGTGACTCACGCAGTGGTCCTCAGGCTAGACCTGCGGCTGAGGCTCCCTGGGACATGTGAACACACAAGGGGGCTGGGGGCTGGGGGCTGGGCCCATCCCGGGGATCTGAAGGAGCCCATCATGGGCAGGCAGAGAGTCTGTATTGCGAACAAGTTTGCAGGGGAGGCTGATGACCAGCCACACTTGGAGATCCAGTGACAGGGCAGTGCTTTCCCATAGGACTTTCTGCAACGATGGAAACGTTCTGTTCTCTGCCCAATGTGGGAGCCACAGGTGCCCACTGAGCATTTGAGATGTGGTTAGCAAGACTGAGGAACTGAATGTTTCATTCTTTTCAGTTCTAACTAACTTAGTAGCCACTGTGTATGTGGCTCCCATTCTGGACCCTGCAGGGCACACTCCAGTGTGTGATCTGAAAGGTCTGAGATGTCCCGTGGGCATTGAGCCTGAGGAACTCCAGCAAATGTCACCCTCTCCCCATGTTAAACCCTGAATATCCAAGGAAGGGAAGTCCACAGCTTGCCGAAATGACCCATTTGTGCAATGCATACCCTCACACTCAGTGGTTCCCACCCCCTTGGCAAGTTCTTGCTCCCTGGTGGGACAGGAGGAGGGTGGGGTCCACACTAGACGCTGGCTTCAAGCCAGGAACTCAGTCCTGGGCCAGCAGGATCTTCCAGCCCTCCATTACTTCATCTGCAAAAATGCAGGCATGCACCTGAGCGCTCCGAAAGACCCTCTGCTCTGTGACAAAAGTTGGGGGGAGGGAGGCGGTGAGCTAAGCATTCCCATCATCAGAGGGCAACTGTCTGGAACTCCAGAAGCCCTCACGATGGGGCGGGGGGAGTGACTCAGGAGCGAGGAAGCAGCCCTCAGTCTCGGTTTCACTCTCTCGATCATCACCAAAACAGAAATCAACATTATAAACTAAGAAAAAAACTCCTGAGCACCTCTTTGCTCCTTCATATTAGTTACTGCTCTGGTGGGCAAGCTTTTCTTTAAAGAAGGAATTTAGGGGCTTAAAAAATGTTTTTACAATGAAGAGGTCACAGGGAGGCAGTGGTCCAGGGAGGCAGTGGTCCAGGTCCGCACCGCAGCATCTAATACTGAGCCGTGTCACTCCAGTGTCCCCGGGCGGAGGCTGAGAACGGAGGGGAGGGGCTGGGCAGCGGACCTGGCAGTGGGATCGTTTTGTGCTTCCGCACTGCTGTCCTTTATAACAGGCCCCCGTGCGTCTACTGCTCCAGGAAAGGCACAAGCTGAGACACCTGGGAAGCCAGACAGGGTGATGCTAGCTTATGTGGAGGCAGCAAGGGCAGCTGGGAGCCCCACCGCTCCGGGTCAAAACAGCATCCCCTCTTCCACGCCCCTCATCCCAACCGCCTCTCCAGGAGGGACCCGGGTCGCCTGCAGATTCGAACTCTAAGGACGGGGTCCTTGCCGCCCGTGGGTGTGACAAGCCCGGGGAGGGAACACCCTGAGCAGCCTCAGAGGGCAGGGCGGGTCCTCAGCTGCTCTCTGCTCGGCTCCTGCACGCGCCCACCGCGTCTCGGCCATCCTGCCGACCCCGCAAAAGGGCCGGCGCCGCTGCGAGGTCGCGAAGCCCCCAGCCCTCTGGGCCAGCGCACCCACCCTCGGGCCGACCTCTCAGCGGTACAAATGAGAGCACGCAGGCCTTTCCCGGATCGAAGAGAGGTGGGGACCGCGGACTCCTGGGGACGGGCAAGAGTTCTTAGCCGGGGGCGTTCGCTCCAGCAGGGCGCGGTGGCAGAGGGCACAGTGGGGTCCCAAGCCCGCTGACCCCTCACTCTCTGGACCCCTCCTGCTCTAAGGGGGGTGACAATGGTGACCCCATCATGGGGCAGGCCCGAGGAGTAGGGGAGGGTCCACCCCAGGGTGGCTGGCACATAGAACGTCATCTCAGGTGCCCGATCGGGGACTGGCCTGGGGGCTGGTAGTGGCCACACCTTTGGGTTAGAACGAGAGAAAGGCGCACGCAGGGGGTGGAGCGTCTCAGCTGGCGACACCCCTCTCCTCAGTCAGAGACAAGCTCTGTTATGGATCTTGTGGTGTCGAAAGCACAGGCATCTCGGTAACAAATGCTGAGAAGATCAGGAAATGCCCCGCCTCCCGGGGGGCGGAGCCTAAAGGCCCTGGTCCCTCTGCAGGGCGGGGGAGGATGCTCCGGGCCACCGCGCGGCCCGTGACCTCGGACGGCCACAGGGAGGGCGGGGTCTGCACTCGGTGGGGAAGGCTCCTGGGCTGCCTGCGGTGTGGGGGGCTTACGCTCATTTTCAGGACTGGTCTGGGCAATTAGGACGCCCCGGGGTGGTTGCCCATCTAAGTCGCAGTCTCCTGAGCAGGTTTTTTTTTTTTTTGTAATAGGCTTTACTTTTTAGAGCAGTTTTAGGTTCACAGCAAAATTGAGGTGAAGGTACAGAGCCTTCCCACATACCCCTGTCCCTACACATGCACACACAGCTTCCCCCACTTCAAAAACCCCCAGCTGTCTGTCACGTGTGTTACAGTTCATGGAGCTGCACTGACACATCACATCGCCCAGAGTCCACAGGTAACAGTGGGGCTCCCTCTTGGTGCTGCACATTCTGCGGGTTTGGACAGATGTATAACGACGCGTAGCCGCCATTACAGTATCAGACAGAGCAGTGTCACTGCCCTGCACGTCCCCGGTGCTCCACTTGGTAACCCCTCCCTCCCCACCTGCCTGGCAGCCCCTGCTCTTTGTACCCGTCTCCATCCTGCTGCCTTTTCCCAGACTCCTCCCAGTCAGAACCCAGAAAGGGGACTGGTTACCACCCCGGACTCCTGCAGAGAGAGCCAGAGGGGTTTCCCAGTAAGTGGAGGACCCAGGGAGCTGAGCTGGTGGGGGACACCTCCCCTTCCTGCCCCAGGAGCCACCTCCAGGCTGGAAGGCAGAGGCACAGAGCACTGGGAGAGAGGAAGCAGTCGCCACCTTGGGGCTGAGGGCAGGCAGGCAGTGATGACAATGTCAGGATGGCCAGCTCCCACAGATCCCACTGCTGGGATCCTTCTCGGGCTGTGAACTCCCCTGTGAAGACTGAGAAAGGGGCTAGAACGCGTTTCACAAGACCTGCTAAAAGAAAACCTTGTGACAGAGCCTAAACCAGACCCTATAACCCAGGTGAGAAATCTCACAAGTAGTAATATCGTGGAAGCCGTTCTACCGATTGCCATTTCATTTAATGGAATAAAATGAAAATTTAGGTAGACAACATAAACCTGGAGAAAGAAATACAGCTGGGTCACAACTAAGATGTTTTTAGTCAGTTCTATATTTTGGGACAGGCGTTCCAAGCTTTCCAGGGGAGCATCAGCCGGTGCCATCCTGAGAACAGATGTTGGAGGGCATCCCCAGTCTGGGGCATGAGGTAGGGGCGATGCCGGTCTCCACCCCCAGTGCCCTGTAGGCGGGAATAGGACACAAACAACTCAGAGTCCTGGGCCCTAGGGAGGGCAGCAGTAAGAGCGGCAGGGCCAGCTGAGGGAAGGGGCCCCAGGGCTGTCACAGGATGCTGGCGGGGGTGGTGGTGCTGGTGGTGTTCAGCGCCCAGGCAGGATTCCTGGAGAGCCTGCTCAGGAGTGCCCAAGGCCTGCCCTATTACAGCGAGTTAAGATCAATGATGCCGTGAAAATGTGGTAATTTCGGCCAGAGTAAAACTACGCTCCCACCTCTTCTTAATACAGAAATGCCTATGTGTATCAAAGAGTTTAGAACCTAAAAGGGCCTACGTTAGTGTCCTGGGGCTGCTGTGACAAAACACCACAATCCTGAGGGGCTTAAAACAACAGAAATTTATTCTCTCACGGTTCTGGAGGCCAGAAGGCCAAAATCAAGGTGTCAGCAGGGCTGTGCTTCCTCCAAAGGCTCTGGGGGAGCATCTGTTCCATCCTCTCTCCCAGCTCCTGCTGGCTGCTGGCAATCCTTGGCAATCCATGGCTTTTGAAGCATCACCTGATCTCTGTCTTCATTCACATGGTGCTCTCCCTGTGTCTGTGTGTGTCTCCAAATTTCCCCTTTTTATAAGGACACCGGTCATGTTGGCTTAGGGTCCTCCCTACTCTAACTTATTCCATCTGCAATGACCGTATTTCTAAATAAGGTCATGTTTTGAGGGACTGGGTGTTTGGACTCAACTTATGAATTTTGGGGGGACAGAATTTAGCCCATATCAGGGCCCGAGCCAAGATCCCATCCTGGGTTTGCAGACTCCTCTGCAGAGAGAGGCCCTGCTCCCTGAGGGGTGAGGGCCAGGCAGGAGGCCAGCAGGCCCCACGGTCCTCTCTGGGCCAGAGCACTGCTTGGCTTTCAGTGGTCGTTGTCTTCCTGCTCACAAAGATTCACCCCTTTCCTGTGGGAGGACAGTCCCCCACCCACTGCCACGTGGTTGACATCCACAGGGCAGGGCACCGGGATGCGAGGATCAGGTGCTCACACGGTGTCCTGGCAGCAGCTGTGGGGCAGCTGGATTTCTGCTCTTCTTGGCTTCCATGCCTGATAGGGACCCCGCTCTGATCTGGCTCCCAGCGCCCTGGGCTGAGCTGAGGCGGCCCCGTGGCCCACATGTAACACGAAGGAGAAATCAACACTGTTGTAAGCCACTGAGAGTTGGGGCAGTTGTTACTTTGAGGACGTTGAAATTCAGGATGCCATGTGCTAGCGTGTTTGTAAAAGGGGTCCTGCTGATCAAAGGGCTTGAAATCATTTCATCTTTCCCAAATCCTCCATCTTACAGATGAGAAACCGGAGGCCCCGAGAAGCAATGGTAACCTGGCATCGGAGTCTCCTAGCTCTTCTCTTAGCCAGGCTCCAGAAGGAGGTTAGAACGGATGCTTGGCAATGACTTCATTTCTTAACCCCCATCAGACGCATGCCTGGACTCGAGTCACTGGGCGTGGGGATCTGGTATTCCTGGATCCATGAGGCGTCTCCTGAGAGTCGGAGGGATACAGTTGCCCTCCTGAGGGAAGACTCTGCTGGGTCTGTCAAGCCTCCTTTGTCCCCACCCCATTAAACAAAGGCCAGTCATTGGAGTGACACTCCTGCATGAGGGCAGAGACTGGGTCCCATTCATTACCCCATTGCTAGTGGCAGAAGGTAGGAGGCGCCCAGATTTGTGGGATGAATAAGTTCATGGCCCCACAGGAAGAGCTCAAGGGTCAACTGGAGTTGACCGAGGCAGTCTGCCAAGCCCTCCTAGGAGCTGGCTGTCTGAAACAAGGCTGTGCTTGGTGACAATGGAATGAAGGTTTTCCCTCTGCAGAGCGTCTGGACCACAGGGGTCACACTTAGATCTGATCAAATAATAGCTCCGCCCCTGGGCAAGCAGCGCTTACTTCCCCCAACCCTCTCCTTTCCAGGTAAATCCCTTTATTCCCTTTAATCATTCCCACTCATCTGTCTCCCTGCTCATTCTATCTTCACTATATAAATACTGGCATAACAATACTGTGTGCCCAGATTTTATACAACGAGGAGAAATTGGTTGGCTGATGACAAACCCAAAACACTCATCATATATAGACTCTTGGATAAGATCCTTGCGCCATTCCATGATGCATTTGTCTAGCAAAAACCACATTTATTAAACCTGTGCAACGTTAGCTTGGCTCTTTCGGGATGCAGCCTTCTATCTGTATCTCTGCAGGCCAGCCAGAATATCTGTTCCTCGAATTGTCAGAGTGGTTGATCTGCGTAAAGGAAAGAAAACAATTTTATTTATTCACTAATCTAATCAACAAATATTTGTCGGCTATGAGCAAAGTCATATAAAGAGAATCACTTCCTAGAATGGAATTTGCTCCATCCTACTTTCTCTCGACGTGTTTCGTACTAATATTTGACCCAGGTGTTAATGCAGTTCTAGAACTTTCTGCAATAATGTAAACGTTCTGGAATCGACACTGTCCAATAGAGCCGCCACTAGCCACGTTTAGCAGTTGAGTACTTGAAATGTGCAAGTGTGACCGATGAACTGAATCTTAAATTCTATTTAATTTTAATAAATTTAAATGGAAATGCAAATTTAGCTAGTAGCTGCCATCCTGGACAGCACAGGTCTACTGTTTAGTTTTCAATTCTCAGAGAGGAGGAGGGTACTGTTTCTCAGGGTAATTGTAAATTCCTTGCTCAGGATGTGTGTTCATACTGATGTGGGATTTAGGCTTTCCTACTTTTTTTTTTTTTTTTTTTTTTTTACAGATAATGGAGTCCCTTAACCTAATGCTTAAAAAGGATAATATGCATCCTAAACTTTGGAATTCTCTTTTTTTATATAACAGCTTTGAGATATAATTCACATACTATAAAACTCACCCATTTAAAGTGTACAATTCCATGGCTTTTAGTATATTCAGAGAGCTATGCAACCCTCACCACAATCAATTTTAGAACATTTTCATCACTGGAACAAGAAACCACAGCCCCACAAGCAGTCATTCTCTTTCCCCCACAGTCCTGGGCAGTCACAAATCTACTTTCTGTCTCTATGGATTTTGTCTATTCTAGAAATTTCATATAAATGGAAATATACAATATGTGGCCTTTTGTGTATGGTTTTCTTCCCTGAGTCTGTTTTCAAGGTTCGCCCATGTTGTACATGTATCAGTACTTTCTTTCCTTTTTCTTTTTGCTGAGGAAGATTCGCCCCGAGCTAACATCTGTTGCCAATCTTCTTCTTCTATGTGAGCCACCGCCACAGCATGGCCACTGACAGTCAAGCGGTGTGGGTCCATGCCTGGGAACCAAACCTGGGCCGCTGAAGCAGAGAAGGCTGAACTTAACCACTAGGCTACCAGGGTTGGCCCAGTAGTTTATTTATTTATATGGCTGAATAATATTCCAGTGTATGGCTATACCATATTTTGTATATACATTTTTTATCCATTAATCAGACATTTGAGTTGTTTCCACTTTTTGCCTATTATGAAGAATGCTGCTATGCACATTCATGTACAAGTTTTCCTGTGAACATATGTTTTCATTCTCTTGGATATACATTTATGAGTGAAATTGTTTGATCATATGGTAACTGTGTGCCTAGCCTTTTCAGGAACTGCCAGGATGTTTCCCAAAACAGCTGTACTATTACATTTCCTGGAGCAGTGTAGGGGGGTTCTCAACCCTCCACATCCTTGTCCAACTTCTCATTATGTCTTTTTCATTATAGCCATCTTAGTGAGTGTGAGGTGGTATCTCATTGTGGCTTTTATTTGCATTTTCCTGATGGCTAATGATGAGAATATTTTCATGTGTTTTTGGCCATCTGTACAACTTCTTTGAAGAAATGTCTATTCAGATCATTTGCTGACTTTAAAATCAGGTTCTCCTTTTATTATTGAGTGGTAAGAGCTCTTTATATATTCTGGATACAAGTCCTTGATTTGCAGATATTTTCTCCCATTCTGTAGGTTGTCTTTGTGTTTTCTTGATGGTGTCCTTTGAAGCACAAACATTTTAAATTTTGATGAAATGCAAATTTCACCTTTTGTTGTTTATGCTTTTGGTGTCATAGCTAAGAAATCACTGCCTAATCCAAGGTGACAAAGATTTATGCCTATGTTTTCTTCTAAGAGTTTAATAGTTCTAGCTCTTACATTTAATTATTTGGCCCATATTGACTTAATTTCTGTATATGGTGTGAGGTAGGGATCCAAATTCATCCTTTTGCAAGTGAATATGTGGTTGTCTCAGCACTATTCATTCCCCGTTAAATGCTTTTGGCACCCTTGTCGAAAATCAATTGACCCAAAATGTGAGGTTTTATTTCTGGACTCTCAATTCTACTCCATTGGTCTATATATCTATTGTAGGTGAGCAGATTTGCCACCCCAAAATATGTCTCTTTGGCATAAGGATTATTTTAGGCTGGGTACTGTTTTAGAAACAGCAGATATGGGGGGAGCTCTGAAAACCAAGGAGAAGTTACCCTTTGTAAGAGACATTTACATTTGTAAGGGAAATCCCTATTTGTAAGGGCATCTCCCTCTCTGTACCAGGAAGAAGAAAACATGTAAATCTCTTGAAACTCCTATCAGTGGAGAAGGCGTGGACTTAAATATGCAAAACAACCTTACCCTTGTTTACTGTGCTTTTCCTGGTCACCTCCTATAACTGACTCCCCCAACCCCAACATCTTATTTGTGTTTTGTGGGTGATGTTATTTAAAGCGGCGGCTTTGGCCCTTTTGGTGAGTTACCCTGTTTTCCTGGGTCTCTCCCATAAATACATGCTATTAAACTTTTGTTTGATTTTCTCCTGTTAATCTGTCTCACATCAATTTAATTCTTAGGCTAGCCAGAAGAACCCAGAAGTGTAGAAGGAAAATTTCCTTCCCTGACAGTATCTTACACCAGTACCATACCTTCTTGATCACTACAGCTTTGCAGTCAGCTTTGAAATTGGGAAGTGTGAATTCTCCAACTTTGTTCTTCTTTTTCAATATTGTTTTCACTATCTGGGTCCATCGAATTTCCCTATCAATCTTAGGATCGGCTTGTTAACTTATATAAAAAATGTCAGCTAGGATTCTGATAGGGATTGCATTAAATCTTTACATCAATCTGTACATCAGCTGTTAAGTATCGACCTCTTAACAATATTAAATCTTCCGATCCACAAACATGGAATATCTTTCCATTTTTAAGGTCCTCTTAATTTCTTTCAGCAATGTTTTGCAGTTTGTAGTGTATAAATCTTAACCTCTCCTAGGTTGTTTATTCCTAAGCATTATATTCTTTTTGATGCTATTATACATGGAATTGTTCTCTGAATTCTATTTGTGGATTGTTCATTGCAAGTAAATAGATTTTGTACATTGATCCTTATATCCTGCAAACTTGCTAAACTTCTTTATTAGTTTAGTTTTTTTAGTGGATTCCTAAGGATTTTCTATACACAAAATCATGTCATTTGTGAACAGAGATGGTTTTATTTCTTCCTTTCTAAGGTGAATGGCATCTATGTATTTATTTACCCAATTGCCCTGCTAGAACCTCCTGTACGATGTTGAAAAGGTGGCAAAGATGGACAGCCCTGTCTTGTTCCTGATCTTAGAGGGAAACCCTCCTATTTTTCACCATTAAATATGACGTCAGCTATGGGTTTTTGCAGATACCCTTTAAAGGGTTAAGGAATTTCCCTTCTAAGTTTGTTGAGTGTTTTTATCATGAAGGGGTACTGAATTGTGTCAGTGTGTTTTCTGTGTCTATTGAGAGAGTGACGCAGTTTTCATCCCTTCTTCTATTAATGTGATGTCTTACACTGATTGATTTTTGGATGTTAAATCAACTTTGTTTTCCTGGGATAAATCTCGCTTGGTTATACTTCCCTTCTTAAAACCACCCTTCTGACTTTTGTTGGGACTTTGGGGATCACGCAATTGAAGAAAATGTGCTCTATGCCTTCAAGAGGTTACAATCCAGGTGTGAACAGACACACAACACTAAGGCAAAGCACCACATGCCCGTCAAGGAAGGCACTGAGGGCCACGAGCACCCGCAGGCAGGGAAGAAGGCCCAGAAAGGCTTCACAAAAGAAATGGCACCACGCTTGTAGGGGAGCAGAATTTGTCACCCAAAATACATCTCTTTGGCATCAGGATTATCTTAGCCTGGTTATTTTTTAATAAATAGCAGACATATTAAAAGATAAAAATATCTTTTAAGAAAAAGCAGAGAAGCTCTGAAAACCAAGTAGAAGTTATCTTCTGTAAGAAACATTTACATGTATAAGAGAAATCTCTGTTCGTAAGGCTGTCGTCCCCAGGAAGCAGGGGATGACTCAATCTCTAGACATTTATCAATGGAGAAGGCAAGGACTTAAATCTGCATACCAGCCCTACCCTTGTTTACTGTGCTTTTCCTGGCCACCTCCCATAACTGACTCCTCACCCGCCAACATCTTCTTTCATCTTTAGCTAAAGGAGGTATTTAAGGTGATGGCGTCGGCCATTTCAGCGAGTTACTCAGTTTTCTGAGTCTCTCCCATGTAGACAGAAGGTATACATGGTAAACTTTTGTTTGTTTTTCTCCTGTTGATCTGTGTTATGTCAATTTAATTATTAGGCCAGACAAAGAACCTAGAAGGGTGGAAGGGAAATTTTTCCTCCCTGACACGGCGGATCTTGAAGGAGACTTAGGGAAAAGCAAAGGTCCGAGCGTGGGAAAGCTCTGTGATGGGTGGAAGAGGGCAAAGATTGTGGTGGTTTTGCTGGTGTGTTGAGCGTATACAAGCATGGAGAGAAGAGTGGGAAGGGATTAGCTGGGCTGGCAGCAAGGGTCTGAGCTCTGGTTCACCAGGGACCAAGACAAAGACCACACTGGAGGTGATGACAATGATGACCTGTGCTGAGTGCTGGCGATGACTGAGTCCAGGCCCAAATCCAGGTTACCCTCCCTTTAGACTGCCACCTTGTTTATTTCTCAGTTTGTGGGTCTCAGGTCGCTCCTCCCTTATGAAACTAGAACCAGCTTACATTTCAAAATTCAATTCAGTAGTGAGGCCAGGAGAGGCTTCTGAGCATGGAAATGACCCCAGAGCTGTGCCTGGGAAGCTGACTCTGAGAATAGCAGGGGGCGTGGATGTGCACGGTGGCTGGAGAGACCACCGAGGACTTGGGGGCCCTCCCAACACAGCCATACACCGCCCTTAGGGAAATCGACGGGGTGTGAGTCTGAATATCTCAAATGTGAAGACAAATGCTTCCTCTGACAGACTTAACTCAAGCTCTCAGAAGGACTGTGTTGAGGCCCTGGCTACCAGCTCAGGCCTCATCAAGGGTTGAGCAAACATCCTTTAGTGCCCTAAACCACAATAGCTCTTGTGAGTCCTGCACAAACTGCTCGCCGTGTTCAGGTCCAGTCCTTGAACTCTTGCTGCAACTGGGACAATAACTTTCAACCAACACATGCAGGCAAGACAGACATTTCCTGCAGTTCCCTTAAAGCCACCGTTTCAAGACACATCGGCTCTCTAAACTCAGTGCAGCGCTTGGAGACCCAGCCTCTTCCTCGATTCCGCCCATTCCAGAAACTCTCTTTCTTATCACCAGACATTCTCACATATTGAGGTACATGGCGTGACTATTCCGGGTTGAAAACTGATTCGACTTGAACTAGCAAGACTGGCCTATGGCCTATCAAACATTCATTGTGCATCTGCTTAACCATTAAAGAATGAGCTCTCTTCAGATAAGCATGCAGACTTCCCCTCCTACGCCCTATTGATAACACTGCCCAGCTAGTCCCTTTCCCGACATTGACATGACATCGGGGTCATGTTGACCTGCTAATTGGCAGCTGATTACGTCTTTGAGACGTTGAGGTATATGTATCCTGGGCGTGTTTAATGCATGTCCTTTGTTCTAAAAAGATATAAGACTGTACTGAGAGCCATGCTTCTCCAGAACGTTTTCTTCTTTTCTGGAAAAGGCCTTCCCAGGTTATAGTCCTCACTCTGGCTCAGGTCAAACTCACCTCTGTCTCTTGTCTACACAATGGTTATTGGTAATTTTGCGTGGACACTTATAAAGAAAATGGGAGAGGCAAGGCCACTGCTACAGGGCAATTCCAATGTGAATTTGTTTCACGCACCTTAGCTAAACATTAACAGGGAAGCTTCGTTGAGATGTGAACATTTGAGTTAAAGGGACTCGAGCCTCGCTCCTGGCTTTTCTGGTGCATCTGAGGTAACAGTTCCAATTACAATAATAAGGACAGGCGCTGACACGTGGGAGCCCTTCCCTGCATGGCCTGACCCTCTCTGTCCCCCGACCAGTGCCCACAGTGGTCCTGCTGCTCCCACCACTCCTGCTGAGTTAGTGACCTGGGGAGACTGGGAAGGGCAGAGGGGACAGGGTAAGGCATGGGGGAAAGGGCAGCGAAGTTGGAAGATGATGTTAAGGGGAAGTTTGGATGTGCACGTGGGAATGAAGGTCAGGGCTGGGCTGGGGGGAGGGAGAAGGGGAGCTCCGGAAAGGCCCAGGTGCTGGGGATTACAGGGCTCCATCCTTGCATCCTGGCTGAGCCCCACGTGTTGCTCTCTCTTAGTCCTCACTGACTCTGTAGGATGGGCACCGTCATTATCCCTTTCTGACAGGAGATGATTCTGTGGCACAGAGAGGTTAACTAATTTTCCCAAAACCACACAGCTAAGCGCATAAAATCTGGAGATCTGTAAGACACTAGACTAGTGCTGATCATACAAGGAGCAGAGGAGAAGGTGACCCTGTATTACTAAAGAGGCCCAGAGAGGCGAGGTGGCTGTTCAAGATCACACCTGACCCCCTGCAAACCTGACACTGGACATCAGGCCCCTCTCCTAGCCGTGCACCTGGCTCACCTCACCCCCATGTGGGCCCAGGTAGTGGTGGCCCAGGGAGCCCCCCACGCAGAGCCAGGCAACGCCTCACACATCAGGACAAGTCTGTGAGGTCTCAACTGTATCCTGGGTGTCCAGACCCAATCATTAGTAACGAGTGGTCTACACTGCGGCCCCGGGTAAATGCTCCTGACAAGTTCTGCAGAGCTGGCTTCCTGGCTGTGAAAGAAATGAGAGGTGCAAGGAGAAAACCTGCTTTTTCAGATGCGTGCTAAAATAACCGCGATTTCTGAGCCTCCGAGGGCTACAACGAGGGCGTCAGAGAAGCTCTAGGGCTCCCTTGCGAGCCGGTCACGAGTCATCTGAGTGGTGGCCACAATGAAGTCACACCTCAGCCTCCCCTTCTCCTGCACCCAGGTGGTCCTGCCAACCAGGGGACGCCAACTGCCCACCTGCTTCTGTTTGCCTTCCTTCCCAGACCCAAAGCCACAGCGGACAGCGCAAAGAGGGGACCGGGACCAAATGTCCTGGTCTGGAGTCAGAGGCAACCTCTTGCACACCTTGGAGACATTCAAATCTCTGCCTCCTCTGAATTTCCAGCTCATAGAAAGGAGGCCCTTCTCCTAAGGAACAGTCGGAGGTCTCCCTCCTTGGCAGGCAGCCACCGCCCCCCCTTTCAGAGCCTGTCGGGTTTCAGCAACGGTTCCTGGAAAGCGGTACTTGGTGACAGAGGCTGCGTGCTCATCCCCAGAGGCCTCAGCCTGCAACTCCTACAACACTTTGCCAACCCTAGTTGGAACTTTCCCAGGAGACTAAGTTAATACGTTAGAACTTCATTCTTTTGATTTTATTTTTCTTGGATAAATAAAGGACATAGTGGGAGGGACTTATAATCAATCATGCAACAAGTTACAGCAACAGCAACAACGAGAGCTCCATTTCGCCAGTTTGTTTGGCGTCTGCCCCGTTTTAAGTGCTTCCCGTGCACAGGCTTGGTTAATCTCCTTAACCACCTTAACTAGTAAGCACTATTACCATCCCCAGGACAGAGGCAAAGGAAAGAGAGGCTTGGGACAAGGGCTGGCTGCAGCAGGACAGAAGAGCAATACCAATAGCCCACTCAGGATTTTCTACTTATAAACAGATTTGAGAAGTTTGAAACTTTGGTTAAGCACCTGACATAGTGGGAAAGGCTTATGAGCATCTTATGATGGACTCTTTGACTTGTAATGACGGACCGAGCGCTGGCTGCATAGGAGGTGATTTTCCCCAGATTTAGGAACTCGGCATCTCAGGCACAGACCCTGAGTGGAGAAGCGAGCGGGCGCCGCCTCGCCCTGTGCGGCAGGCACCGTACTGGAGACGGGCGGCTCTGACCCACCGGCAACACTTCACCTCACAGCGTGCGGAGGACCAACCCTTTGTGGGAAGGGACCTTTAAAAGCCACTCACCTTTTCTCTCTCAATTCCTGCAGGAAGTTCAAAGCCTTTTGCTGTGAGAAATACCCAGCTCGACCTGAATCGCATGTTCCTGACTTCTTTACTTCCAAGAGCTTCTATGGCCTTCTTGGCGTCCTCCTTCAGTCTGGGGACAGAGGGGACAGTGTCTGAACGTCTCATGTGGAGACCCCAGTGTGTTGCACTGTGTCTGTCCCAGAATAGAGGTTTCTAAAGCGACTCATCTCCTCCTCGGGCGAACGGCAGGAGGAAGAGGGCACGTGCTGATTGAGGATGTCAAATTTCTAGTAAAACCTGCGACAACATCCAGGACTCCCTTAGACTCGATTCTGGGTACAGAGTTTTAATTCTCAATTCTGAAAAGCCCCTGCTTCTTGGGGTTCAATCACATCCTCATACTCAGCCAACATAATTTTTGCTCCTTGCTGCACCCCCTGTTTACCAACCACGAAATGAGGTGGAGAAGTTACCGAAAGATGACAGCGAATGTTAAAACTGTCCCTTTCATATTCAGACAAGTCAGTACCAAAAAAAGAAAAAATGAAAAACCTAAAACAATACTGCATTGTAAAAGGGGTACAATTGAGAGGAAGCAAAGGATGGAGGGCAGAAAGGGAAAGGAAAAAATAACAAGTTCAGGTTTTCCTAAACGAGTTAAATCTGAGTGTTTCAGAGTTGTATCAAGGCACTTCAGTCTGGTAAGATGCTCTAGTGAAAACAGGACCTGAGGTCAAACACATGTGGGCAATGCTGTGTTCAGGAGCCGCTTCCTGGAGGTTCGCAGTGCAGAGAGGCCCTTCGAGGCTCTGGGAAGATTGGCAGTGAAGGCGCACATGTTTACTTGGAAGAGCAGACGGGGAGAAACACTGAGCCAGATCACCTGCTCCGTCGTGAAAGCGTTGCACGTGTGTCAGTGCCACACTGGGTTTAGCTTTTCTGGCCAACAACCGTAAAAAGCTAACTGCTTTTCCATCCTAATTACAGTCAGCAGTGGCTCTGTCTTGCTACCTGGAAATATTCCTTAGCTTCTAGTACTTACGTCCTCCACTGGCTAGTCATCTCTTTAGAAGCACAGTCTGTTTTGCCCTGGTCCCCTATTCCTTTTCCTTGAAGAAGCATCTTGCTCCTTGGAGTTTTGTCCTTTCCTAGAGGACGCACTGAGGGGCCAGCTGGGGCCTGGTGTTCTCCACCCAGCTGGCTTCTCTTCCCCACCTCCACTGTGACAAACCTGTCCCCACTCACCTGCTGCTGCCATCATCGTGGGTCACCATGAGGAGCAGGGACTTCGGGGGAGCACTCTGAATAAAATTGGTCATCGGTCCAGAGTTATCTGTCGGGTCGATGCAAATCAGTTTTAGGCTCTTCTCTGTTACCTCAGACTCTTGCCCTCGATGCTGTGCGTCCTCTGCTCGCAGCCTCTGTGTCCGCTCCGACTCTCCACCACGTAACAGTGCTCCGGCTCTTACAGTCGACAGCCACTGGGGCTCCATGGTGGGACCGCGGGAGGTGAGCAGCACGATCAGATCATGAAGATTCCATTAATCAAGCTCAAAACCAGCCACAACATTGGCAGCACAGGTGGAGTTTTCTCTGCAGTTACTCACGAAACCCCAGACCCAAGTGTGAGCACCTTAGAGCAGAGCGGCCCCAGGACACTGATGTGCAGAACGGAGAAGAGAAACACAGAGACACGCAGACCAGATGGGACAGGGGGCTAAGTCTTTGCTAAGAGACCTATCTATGCCTTACAGGAAGAAAATAAAGCTTAATCTCAAACCTCATTGTTTACCGCTGGGGCTGGTTCTTTATACTTATGCTTAAGTTAACTGCAAAGTAAAAATGGATAGTTCCTATCGAGTGTATCCAGGCATTTCTCATTGCTCTTCTTCAGGATCTTTTTTTTAAAGATTGGCACCTGAGCTAACAACTGTTGCCAATCTTCTTCTTTTTCTGCTTTTTCTCCCCAAATCCCCCAGTACATAGTTGTATATTTTATTTGTGGATCCTTCTAGTTCTGTTTTATGGGACGCCGCCTCAGCATGGACTGATGAGCGGTGCCATGTCCATGCCCAGGATCCGAGCCTGCGAAACCCTGCGCCGCTGAAGCGGAGCACGCAAACTTAACCACTTGGCCACGGGGCCGGCCCCCTTCTTCAGTATCTTTATAAAGACTTGTTTTCAACAATTCTTGGTGTTAAACAAAAATAAAAAGGGCTGGTATATCCCAACCAACAACTGCATTCAAGATCTAGTGCCCAGAATGGAGAGACCACTGGAGGTGAAGGGGCACCACTGGTTCCAGGAATGCGTGCTCCGAGCCCAGGAGGCATGAACTTGACAGTAATTGTGACAATATTCAAGGCTGGATGCTGATCACATTATTTTATACATATTTGATTTTGAAAAAAGAGGTATTTTCTTTCCCATTATCCAATGAAGGAATAGAAGGAAAAGAGCCAGGACAACTGTGATCAGAGGAAAGATATTTTCTAGTTAATGCCTTCAACCTCTGTTACACGAACTCAATTAGGGACTAAGAGGATTTCTGTCAGACCATTCTAGAATACTCACATGAGCTTCTGGCAATATTTTTAATAAACAAAATAAGAATGTTTGACATTTTTGTGTTTTCATCCTAACTTATGTTTATAATTCACTTTAAGAGGAAAAAGTTTTTCTTACCACCTTCATACATATCAAAATACCGTGTTGCTATCACTTTCCCAGTCGCATCTGAAAACAAAAGAAATGGCTTTTGAAAGAAAGTTTGTTGGGACTCAGGGCACCCTTGTGGCACCGCGGTTCTCAAGATGGCACGTTCCTTCTGTCTCTTTCCAGGAGGCATGACTGCTGCGATGGCCCAGCTTGAGGAAAAAAGGCTGCCTTCCTTGGAGGGGTGTTACCAATGTGGGGACAGACAGGGCTTGTCAGCTCTTCTAGAACTTTCTTCCCGTCTGCCTCCAGTTAGATGTGATCCTATGCTTTTTCCTGTCACACCTGCCTCTGCCCGCAGAACCACCAGGGCCCCCACTCAGCCCTTTCTGGTCCCCATTAGGCTTTCCTGCAGGATTATGAGGCTGGGCACATTTTGTCTCAGGTTTCTACAGCCCTGCTGTCACTGGACTATGCGCTCAGCTCAGGTACTCCACGGGACACCGTTTCCCCAAACCTGCTACTGTTCCTATTGCCTGGGGTCCAGCAGCAATCCCAAAAGAATGTTGCCCCAGGCCTAAGAGGAGGCCAGCTGAGCTTCCCCTGAGGCCTGAGTCGCCTTTTATCACACAGCGGTGACAACTGGCTGGCGGTGTCACCCTCTGCTGGGCCACCAGGAGCGGATGTGAGGTTGTACTCCAGGACGGCCTGAGGTCCCCCTCTGCGTATCTGGTTTTAACCCTGCCTCCTGCTGCGCCTTTTTTGTTTTTTTAAAAGTCTACTTATAATTGGTTTCAGGGTTTTTTTTTTTTTTTTTGTACGTACCACAAATAACCTGTAAAGTGAGGCACTGTAAAAATAATTAAATATATAATTTCAAAATGCATTAAAATATAAACCTACACTAGATTGCATGCAAAAATCCTCGAAAACCCAAGGTATCTTTGAAAATCCAATCGCAGAGCTTTTAGAGAAGTTTTAAAGAAAACACTGAACAACTTACAGTTAACAATGGCAATATTTATTCCTCTTGCAACATTTCTAGTCTTCTCTCCTATGAGCCTGAAATGCAAATATGCATTAGACAAAGAACTCCTTTCTTAGTGGGCAGTGAGGAGCCCTCCCCGCTCTGTAAGATCTTTTCTTGGCAGAGTCACTGCCCGGCCCTCGTTGCTGACCACTCCCTCGCAGGTACGCGCTGGCCTAGACCCAGCTTCCTTCAAAGTCACCCCTACTCGGTCCACACACATCCATCCCCAAGTTTCTATAGACTCAGTCCTGCGGGGAACCTGGAAACTGCATTTAATCTTATAATATAGATAAACAGCCAGGGAGAGGAAAAACTAATATTTATTCAGCACAGTCTTTTTCCATCTTTCCACTGAAACCTCAGTCCCAGCATAAGCCTTCATTTTTCCATTTTATAAATATGAAGTAGTAAGAGGTGGATCAATAAGAGAAGGATGTAACCCAACTCTGCGATCCACGTCCATAGGTCCTCCCCCTCAGCGGACTGACGGCGGCTTTGCTTGACTCCCGGGCAGCCTTTTGTCCAGCCACAAAATGCAACCCAGTTTATCTCCTTACTTTTTTTTTTAAAGATTGGCACCTGATCTAACAACTGTTGCCAATCTTTTTTTTTTTTCTGCTTTATCTCCCCAACCCCCCCAGTACATAGTTGTATATCTTAGTTGCAAGTCCTTCTAGTTGTGGGATGTGGGATGCCGTCTCAGCGTGGCCTGAAGAGCAGTGCCATGTCCGCGCCCAGGATCCGAACCCCGGGCCGCCACAGCGGAGCGCACGAACTTAACCACTCGGCCACGGAGTCGGCCCCTAATTTTTACTTTTAAATAGGAAAATATGACATATCAACCTCAAGGGGCCTGTGCTCTATAAGCAGGAAGAAGACGGACTTTCCTGGAGGTGGTAATTATTGCTGAAGGTCTTGGGACCCTCGTGTCTGTGTGCGTGCACCCTCTGTCCAGTTTTAGAATCAATGATCTGGTAGCTTCATGGAAAGAATCTGGAAGCTTTCCCCGTTTCCCATGCTTTGGAATAGTGAATACAGAGCTGTCATATTCGGCTCTTGACATGTTTACCTATCTCCCCTGTGAGCCTTCTAGGCTAAGTCCTTTATGGAGGAGCAGCTTTTCAAGAATTTTAAAGAATACTCCATAAAAACTTGAAAAGAAGCAAAAAGAAACTTCCACTTATGATAATGGAAAATTGAGTAATCTGAACCTACTCTCCCATAGAGAAAAACAAAACAAAACAAAAATGAACTTTTTTTTAAAAAAAAAGATCTGCTTGAATCTATTAGAGACCTAATAAGGCAGTAAAGAATTCCCGGGCCAAGATTTGGGAGAAGACTAAATTTCAAGGTGGCAAGCCTAGCATATAAAGCTACTTTACCCTAGAAGCATTTGTTAATTCTAGAAAAGTACCATATAAGGTGAGTAGCACTTCTGACAACCATGTGAGGTGAGTGGGACACAAGTTGGAAGCCAGGGCCCACTAAAGGGAAGGTCACGTTAAATCCCCCAATTTTATTTGGGTTGAATCCTAAAAGTGAGAGCGAAGCAGAAAGAAATCAGAGCTTGTATAACTGTAGCCCAGCTTTAAGACAACTGGGTGGGCCAGAAAAACTCAATCCTTAACATTTATTCAGATCATTCTGTATGGCTAATGGCTCCAGGTCCCTGGCAGAAGAAAACAAATATTCTCAGAAGAAGAAGATAATATCATCTAACATCTCAATTTTTAAAATAATAATTTCTTAAATGCACTGTCTGGTATGCTATCAAATGAACCCTGGTACATGAGGACAGACGCCAAGAGAAATGAGAACCCCTGGAACCAGCAGAAAACATTGGTAACAGTGAGAGACTCACAGGGCTTCCCAATAGTAGAACTAGCTAACAGAGTTTAGAGTAACTATATTTAATATGTCCAAGAAGATGAGAAATAAAACCGAAAGTCTCAAAACTGGAAACCACAAGAAATGATATGGAAATCAGAAAACCACAATAAAGTTCTAAAACTAAAATAATATAATATCTGAAACCAGCAGTTAATGGACGGTTTTAACAGCAGAATATGCACAGTAGAAGAGAGAATTAGTGAACAGGAAAACATTCAGAGGAAAACAGCTCTGTCCACAATGAAGGACAGTGAGATACAAAGATGGAAAATACAAAACAGACTGTAGGCTACAGAGAATATAGTGATAAGGTCTAACATATGCTTCATTAGGAGTCTCAGAAGAACGGGAGCAAGTAAATGGGGCAGAAGATACAATAGCAGAGATTTTGTTCAATGTGATGAAGCACTTCAATACACACATATTTAAGAAGCCCAACAGACTCCAAATAAGATAGGGCTACAACAACAGACACAGCGGGGTACAAGTGTTGAAAGCCAAAGACAAGGAAGAAAGCTTAAAGGAATCAGAGAAGGACAAAAAGGGCAGTTACTTTCACAGAATCAGCTTTTAGGTTGTTAGCTGAGAAATGGAAGCCGGAAGACAATGCAGTGGTCTCTTGAATGGGTTGAAAGAAAATTAAGAGCCAGCACAGCCTGGAAAAATATCTTTCAGCAATGAAGATGACATAAAGATATTTCAGAGAAAGATAAACTAAGGGAGTTAACCACCAGCACACCGTAGAGAAGCTTTTGTTCCTTATCTTTTGGTGTCATGAAGCTTATCCATAAGTATTAGTTGTTACTGAGTCTTATGAGTCTGTCTAGAGTATCATTGAAGTTGAGGGTTGTGGTGGTGGCCCCTCCAAACACATTACCCACCTGAAATATATGCACGTGTGCTCCAAGAGACATGAACAGGACTATTCACAGCACTGTTATTCATATCGGCTCCAAACTAGATACGATTCAATGTCACTCAATAGCAGAAGGAATAAATAAGTCGTATATATTTATGCAATGCAGTATTACACAGCAATGCAAGTCAGTGAACGACAGCTACATCCACCACCAAAGATGATTCTCACAAATATAATTTTGAGCAAAAGAAGTCAGACACAAAAGAGCATATGGTTTGAGATTCCATTTATATAAATTTCAAAATAGACAAAGTTAAACAATAGTGTTTTGCAATGCATGGAAATGATCACTATAAAAAACAGAATAGAGGTTACCTTTGGACAATAAGGAAGGGGGGCTGCATTTGGAAAGGGGGACACAGAAGGCCTGTGGAGCGTTAGTGATAGTCTATTTCTTAGCCTGGATGGTGGTTCACAAGTATTCGCCTTATTATAATTCATTACAAAACAACATCTTCACAAGGTTATTCATTGTAGTAGTATTTGTAAGACCAAAATATTTCAAACAGTAAAAACATCTATCAGTGTAGACCTGATGGAATAAACTATGATACGTCCAAGCCATAGAATACTATGCACCCATAAAAAGGAATGAGGACAATCTCTATGTATTGATATGTGGTGACCTCTATTATACTGGTAAGGGAAAATAGCAAAGTGCAGAACTGTGTATAAAGGTTGCAGCCTTTTATACAAGAAAGGAGATATATATATATTTCTCTCTCACACATATGCATAAATATACTCACATATATATACATATATATAAAACACCTAGACAAGGATGTATTAATTATATATATATTACACATATAATATATATACACACACATCCAATTTGCTTATTTTTGACCAAAAAAAACCACTGGAAGCATAAATCAGAAATTAATAAAAAATTAATGAGGATGAGAAAAGGGGGTGAGGAGAACAAAGTGGAGGGTATCGGGGAGATTTCTTTGAGTACGATTTTATTTTGTACACATAATGTTGATTTTTGAACCATGTAAATGTATTAAAAAATTAAATAAAATCCAAAGAAAAACAAAACAAACCCTAGAATTTAAAACAAACTGAAATAAATCTAACTGCACATCAAATATGTAACACAACTATAGAAGAAATGATTTCACATGGCTTCGGTCGCAGTATTTGGATTGTTTAATAATGGAATATTTTTAAAGACAGAAAGAACTGAAAGGAAATTTGTAGGTTCACTCAGTAGCTATGTTGATGCTGTAATTTGAAAGCGAACATGATGGTACTAGGAACCAAGATTTTCAGTGTAAGAGAAAAGAATTAAGCCAAGCCCGCTGGTTCTTTCCCTGCTTATGTCTAGTCTATTGATGAGCCCATTGAAGGTGTTCCCACTTCTCTTACAGTGTTCTCAATCTCCACCATTTCCTTTCGATTCTTTCTTAGAGTTTCCACCTCTCTGCTCACGTTACTCATCTGTTCTTGTATTTGGTCCACTTTTTTGACTAGAGCTCTTAGCATATGAATCAGAGCTGTTTCAAATTCCTGGTCTGCTAATTGCAAACTCTCTGCTATATTTGAGTCAAGTTCTGAAGCTTGCCCCGTGCCTTCAAACTGTGTTTTTTACCTCTGGTGTGCCTTGTTGTTTTGTTGAAAGCCAGCCATGGGACATCAGGTAAAAGGAACTGAGGTACACAGATCTTAGTGTGAGGCTCCACGGTCATCTGGCTGGGAGTCAGGCTGTATTTGCTATCTGCTGTAGCTGTAGGTGTTAAAGGCTAAAATTTCTCCCCTAGGTCCTGGATATCCCGAGAGACCCTTTAAAATTGGGTTTAGCCTTGCAGTTCTTGTCAGCTGTAACCCCGTTATTTCACAGGAGCCTTATTTATGTGGTGGTAGGATGTGGGAAGGGGAAGTAGTCTGCTACTTCCTATTATACTATATATATATTCCTATTCCAACTACTACTGAGTCCTATGATTAGGTCTCAGGCTTTGGAGAGCCTGAGCCCCTGGGCTGTGGCCTTCACAAGTGGTCATGCTTTCTCTTTTACCCCTTACGTAAGACAGGAAGGCTAGAAGGGGCTGCAGTTGGGGAGTTTCTCCCCTCCCAGTTAAGTCTCTGGTAAAACCCACATTGGTTAGACTCTGGCAGAACACTTTCCCTTGAAGGCAGGGCCTGGTTAAGAACAGAACGCTGTGGTCATATTTCAGAACGGTTACTTCTCCCTTCCCCCTGCCAGAAGCACAG